AAAAAAAAAAAAAAAAAAAAGAAATGATATTCAGGAGCCTTCCTGGCAGGGATGTGGATGTGGATTTTACACCCACAGGTTCCAACATGGAGGATCCAGGTCCTTGAAGTCTTGAGAATAGAAAAGGAGGAAGAATGTATTTGCATTTTTAAGAATAGGAATAACAATAACAGTAATAGCTCTCATTTATTGAGCCCATACTAATGCCTTATGCCAGGTATTGTTCTATATGTTTTACATGCATTCTTTTAGCCCCCTCATATAACAACCATATAAAGCAAGTATTGCTATAATTTCCATTTTACAGATAAGGAAATTGAAGCAGAAAAGTTTAAAAATGTGTTAGGTCTTGCAGCAATTAAGTACCAGTGCTGGTTAGGGAATTCTGGCTGGCTGGCTTAGAGCCTAGGCTCCTAACTCCTGTGCGATACTGCCTCCCACTGGCTGTACGATCATAATAAATACCTGACTCCCAAAAATATGTTACATCAGCATCAATAGAAAGGTCATGCAAACCACACGTGTAATTTAAAATTTTCTAGTAACTGCACCAAAGAGTCAAAATCTGGTGCAATGAATTTTAATCATATGTTTTATTTAATCCATATCCGAAATATTGTCATTTAGCAATACCCAAACTATTGACATGCTTTATTTTTTTCCAAACTAAGTCTTCACAATCAGTGTGTATTGTATACTTACCACACCACCTAATTCAGAAAAGTCATGTTTCCATGCTCGGTTAGCATGTGACAGAGCTAAAAGTTTGGACCTTAGAATTAGGTGGCAGTGGCCAGGACTCGACAGGCAATACTGCACACCGTGGTGGAGATGGCCCTCTTTTCCCACCTAGAAATATGTCTTCAGTCTGAGCATTTCAGGAAAAAACTAAAGAGAAAATATACAGTGGAGATTTCTATTGTGTGATACCTGCCCTGGTACTTGGGCCGAAATCTTTTCTTGAGAAATGTATAATTTCTCAAGGTATAATGTATTCTCAATGTATAAATGTATAATGACTCTAAGTTCTTAAAAAATTGCCTCTGCCAAGCTGTGCCTGTTCCTCCTTTATTTATTCTCTACTGGAGAGCCCTCCTAATTCACATTCTGGTGGCAGGGTCCTAGTAAGCTTCATCTTGCTTTCGGCAAGAACATGCTATGATGCCCCATCCCAAACATTTCATTGTCAAAGATGTAGCTAGTGTATATTCTCACTGACACACACCTCCCACTTTCTTTGCAGGAGTGTTGCTAACCTCTTAGAAGCAGCCACGGTTCATCTGCTGTGCTAGAAACAGTCTTTAGATCTTCATACTGGAGTCGCTATTTCATTAGCTCCTTTACTTATTTCTGCATAATCTCCTTACATGGTTTTTTTTGTCCAAAGAACAAAAGTGTCTGAGGCCAAGCATCATGCTGTTGTAGGGTCATTAGTCCTGCTCAAATTCAGATCAGTTATAGATCCTTACCTTGAAAGCAGCATCACTCATCCCATGTGTATAACTCTCCTGATTAAATATCTAAAAGCAATAAGAGTTAGGCTAAACTAAGCATGATTCATTTCCTCCCCAGATACCACAGATTTGCCTCACTTCTTGCAGAGGGAGGCAGATATTTAATGATAATTTTTATGTGGGATTTTTTTTCCTCGTGAAAGCAAGGGGAGAGCTTAATTATAATGTTTCATTAAGAAATGTATCATCTCTCAGGCATATTGCAAGAATTATTAGTCATTCTGCTGTCAATGAGGGAAGGCACTGTGTAATTGTGAAATTATATTAATATCATCAATAGAGTCAAAATAACATTTCATAGAATGTTCAAGTTGAAAGGACTATACAGAAACTTTAGTTTCCCAAACTTCCCTGAAGATAAGAATCACTTGGGACACTGCTAATAATAAAAAGTCTGTGGCTCCATCTAAGACCCACTGAATCAGAATCTCTGGGCTCTAGGAAGCAGTGGATTTATTTATTTATTTATTTATTTATTTATTTATTTATTTATTATAAAATTTTAAACATTTTTATTTATTTTTGAGAGACAGAGAGGCACAGAGGGTGAGCCAGGGAGGGGCAGAGAGAGAAGGAGACACAGAATCCGAAGCAGGCTCCAGGCTCTGAGCTGTCAGCACAGAGCCCGAAGCAGGACTCCAGCCCACCAACTCTGAGATCATAACCTGAGCCAAAGTCAGACGTTTAACCAACTGAGCCACCCGGGCTCCCCACTGGAAGCTGTGGGTTTAATAAGCATAAGCACCTGAGCTCAACCTTATCCTCAGGGAAGTTAAGGGAACACTGAAGTCCTACACCTTTGTTTGATGGATGAAGGTCCTGGAACTCAGAGAGATCGATGGACTTGATGGATTTCAGAGAGCTACATCAGATGGGAATTGAAACCACCTCCCCTGACCCCAGTCCAGGAACTTTCTAGGACACCAGAGCACTACATTAGTATTAAAATAAAACAAATAGCCATCATTGTCTTCGATTAAAAAAAGAAGCAGCGGCAAGTAGTAAACTTCTCAGGGGGTGGGTTTTATATAATTCTGAATATAATCTCCTAAACAGTTTATGTTTCAAGGAAATCCATAAAAAAGTAATATCACGTGTTTGTGTGTGAATGTGTACACACATACACATTTCATTTCTATTCTATCATGTATCCAGAAGAGACCATTTTTAGGAATTAAACTATAGTCTTTTTCACGGTCCTTTACGTGTTCTGTGTGTATGAACCTCATTCTTGGATTCTAACTCTTTTTGAGTCAGCCATTCAAGTATATATCCATTTGCTTTAAATAACAAAACTTTATCTTTTGTTCTACTTCATAGGAATAGGGCTATCTTTCAACAAGTAACTCATTTTTTTTTTAATTCATCAAAACAAAACTTGTTACAATTTTCCCTCTACTGGAGAAAAAATACAGTTGGACATTTTAACGAGAAATCTTTTCTCTGCCTCACAAGATTATACCATCTTCTTAATATAATTTTCTTTGTTTCCACAGACTGTCCAAAGCCCCCAAACATTCCCATGATCATGTTGGGGGTTTCACTGGCTATTCTCCTCATTGGGGTTGTCCTCCTGTGCATTTGGAAGCTGTTGGTGTCATTTCATGATCGTAAAGAAGTTGCCAAATTTGAAGCAGAACGGTCAAAGGCCAAGTGGCAAACGGTATGTAAACACTTGGGTGCTATCCCTTGTCTCCTGGAGAAAGTGACTCATGGAAGAGATGGGTGTCAGCTTTCTTCTGCTCTAAAAGAGAGTGATTTCACTGGTTCTTTCCCTACCCCTCTCACCATGTCCCTAACAGCTTTGATTTGTTGAGGACAAAGGAACCCAGATAGCTATTTGGGACCCAAATAACGCTCATAGCATACATTTGTCTCTCAGTGCAGTAGGCATTTCCCCCACTCTGAAGAGTCTCCTGAAACTCCTTATATACTGTTTAGGGACATAAAGGAGATACATTTAATCATTACCACCAGGAGGATCATTCAGGCCCCTCTTGATAAAGCATAGGTGCCTGTATCTAAACACTTCCATAGATCAGTTGTGTTATAGCCAACAGAATAATGTTTGTGAGTAGTATTACAGTTCATGCCAATTTCCATAGAAATACTCATTATTTATAATAGGTTACAATGCCAAGTTGAGAAGACCTTTTAAATATCATTCAGGTAGTTCTTCTCAATAACAAATTTTAAACAGCTACCTGAAAAATACCTAAAAAGTGTCAACCTTTAAGTACGTATACTCAATAGATATAATTTATGTGTCTCCCCTTCGCAGTAGACAAACACAAAACAGGACTCCAATTTTCTGTGTTTCTTTTCCACAGGAGAGATAATTACATTTCTAGAGGGCCATAGAAACAATTTCATGGTTTTAATTTCATCTTTCTATTTCTAATGGTGTGCCAGCTATCTAATAGCAATTATCTTACATTGCTGATTCTAAAAACAGTGATTTTACTGCAGAAAATACAGGCAAACACAATGCTCTTTTGTGTTCATCTGCCCCAATAAGTTGATATTAACATTTTTTTCCCTCTAATTATATAGTGATATCCTCAATTCTTAAAGCAAATGGAATTTCTGTTTTGGATAAATTTATCTTGATAAAGCATGTTTATATATCATGCAATTATTTTGAAGTAACACTAAGATACAGTGCAGGACAATGGACAACAAAAATATTCAGCTACTTCATCTTCCTATTAAAAATGCCTTTAGACACAACAACCATATTCAATGCATGGATCTTGTTTCGATCCCGATTTGAACAGTCTGACTGTAAAAATACATTTCTTGGACACCTGGAAGGAGGATAATAGAGACTGGATATTAGAATGAAAGCAAGGAATTATGATTAATTTCACTAGGTAAGATAATGGCATGATAACTTTGCTAGAAAATATCCACATTTTGAAGTGAAAGGAAATGAAGATTAGGTTTACTCTGAAATAATTCAGCCAAAAGAGAGAAGGGGATAGTGGGGCACCTGGGTGGCTCTGTTGGTTGAGCGTCTGGCTCTTGATTTCAGCTCAGGTCATGATCTCACAGTTTGTGGAGCGAACTCCCTGTCAGGCTTGTGCTGACAGCATGGAGCCTGCTTGGGATTCAGTCTCTCTGTCACTCACTCTCTCTCTCAAAATAAATAAATAAACTTAAAAAATTTTTTCATGTTAAGAGAGAAGGGAATAGTGAAGCAAGTGTGGCAAAATCTTGATCATTGTTGAATCTGGGTGATGGGTCTATAGAGGTTTGTTATACAGCTTTCCTCTTTTGTATATGTATGAATTATTCATAATTAAATAAAATGCTTTAGGAGAGTAAATTTGGATTTGCAATGAGGATACAATTTATCCGTCCCTAACAAGGTAAAATGTAACTTGCTAGATTAGTCTGGTGACTTAGAACATAGTATTATGAGGCTAAAGTTGAGGGCAGTTAACTTCATCTAATCCCCCCCGCCGTGGGTGTTTATAACTCTCATCAACTGTCAAGCAAATGCCTGACAATGGTCAAAAGGACAATCAGACAGGGGCGCCTGGGTGACTTAATCGGCTAAGTGTCCAACTTCGGCTCAGGTCATGATCTCACAGTTTGTGAGTTCGAGCCCTGCGCGCAGGCTCTGTGCTGACAGCCTGGAGCCTGCTTTGGATTCTGTGTCTCTCTCTCGCTTTGTCCCTCCCCAACTTGTGCGCGCGCTCTCTCTCTCTCTCTCAAAAATAAATAAACATTAAAAAAAATTTTTTAAAAAGG